TCTGATTTGTACAACTCCTTTCTTGTACACCTGAGGCCCACCTGCACAGGAATGACACCACCCATGGTGGACTGGGACCTTCTACATCAATTAGCAATCAACAAAATGCTCCTCACATGTGCTCATATGCCAATACAATCAAAGCAATTCTTCAGTTAAGGTTTCTTCTTCCCAGACGAAAACCTTTTTCTCTAGCTTTGTGACAAGTTGGCAGGAACTAGCCATCCCATAACGGTATAACATGGTTTGTAAATGGTATATTTTAGCCTCTTAATTATAGAGAAGTTACAAAGTGCAAGGGACCTTGTAAGCAATCTGTAAATGTGTATGAACACTGAGGAGAAGGGATTGTTGGAACTTCAGTTTCTACACCGGCTACTGTATTTGTGCTATTTCACAGCGACTGAGCAGAATTACTACATGCAGCACGAAATTTCTGATCTTTTTTTGAATCATGGTGTCTGGTATAAGCACACAGAACACTAAAAGAGGGAGAAAAGTTTTATCCGTCAGGCATCACAGAGAAGTACTTAACAGCCATAGCTGTACCAGGCAGAGCTGTCATTAACCCAGAGTTCAGACAGTCCATACTTGAAAAAGTTTGCTATGGTCTCTTTTCTGTCCAAAGAAATAAAGAACATGCTAGCCTCCCCCACACACCGTAATTAATGGTAATTCTACTGAAGTGTAATTGGTTTTGATAAGAGAAGAAAATATTCCAAGAAAAAGGTTTCTTTATCAACTCCAATACAGCCTAAAAGACTGTCATTATGATCATTTAAAGCGGCTTTATTGTAATCTGTTTCAACCTAGCCAAATAGGACTAATTCTTAGTAATTCAAGTATATTTTGATATGGGGAGATCAATAGTTTTCATTGCTTTCACATAATAAAGAGGATGACACATTTGGTTAATGTATCACCAAATTCTAATGAGGTGTCTGATGAATCCAGTAGCCATTCCTAATGCAGCTGAAAATGAAACAGTAATAGAAAAAAAATCACCTAAGCATGATATAGATTTTACAAATTTAAAAGTATTAAAAATATTAAATTACAAAAAAACTAGTTGTTATTGACTATTATTTTGAAGATGGTAATTATGTAATGAAATAACATAAAGCAAAAAAATTTGTATTAGGGGAAAAAACACCAAAAAATGATTATATATTTTACTGAACACCAGAAAAAAAACCCTATAATATATAGTTTTGGGAAACTAAAGCACTAAAGTTAATAACAGAATTGCTAAAATGATATTAGCAGTAGATAGTACTTTTCTGGGTAAGCACTAATTGACTTAGGAAGAAAAATGGGGATGGCAAAATTAAAATAAGCAAAGCTCAGTAGAACATGCAACACAAGCTTTAAAAAACTTCTAGGCTGGAAGTGAGATTCAGTTGCATAGCCCTTGCCTGGCATATGCAAAGCCTGAGTTTGAGCTTCTGCAAACACTTCTCCAAATGCTGAAAGAGACTTAAGAAATGTATTCACCAGTTCCATTCTAAGATCTTTTGGCTCCTTGATAGGAGAAAACTACTGAATGGAGATCAAGACAGAAAACAGATGAACTTATTAAGAAATAGCGTTTGCAGTTCAATTTCTGCACCCTTATATATGGAGTCTGTAGAAGACAAGTCTTACAATCTCACCAATAAGAAAAGGCCAGGAAATCTACATAGTTTTCCTGAACCCCTTAGATATCTGACAGCACAGGATAGAGAATTCGAAACAGTAGCAGGCCATTTGACACAGACAGAACAGAACACTGGTCTCACCATTGAAGGGCAAAAAGAAGCCAGAGGAGCTGCTACATGAGCAGTTCAGAAATCACTGAGAGTTTTTACAAAATGCTGAAAAAAGCAAGGTAGATTGCGGTGTTGATTAAAAATAAGTTGGAGTGCCAGCTATAAAGGGAAACACTTCCAAATTCTGTGCTTCGGGCTCTCCTGGTTGATTCAGGAAGGCCCAGAATATAGATGGGGGGGACGCAGCAGTGTAAGCGTGAAGGATGGGCTGCATGGAACCCCTAGACTACCCTGGCTCCTTCCCTCATCTGAAACAGGTTGAAAACCTCACCCTTCACCCTAAGCGTCCAGAAGATTTGTCACTGCTGTATGAGGGGCAAAGGTGAAAAGACATCTGCTCCTATGGAAAGCGCAATAAACCGTCTTGGGCTCGACTCATATTGCAATGCGAAGCAAAAGTCACTTATGTGAGGAGAGAGCACTGTGTTTCAGGCGTGCAGTGACTGGTGAACGCTGAGAATGAAACGGGATCATTTAAAATAAAGAAGCAAACAAGAAAAAAAAAAAACAGAACAAAGGCAAGCAAACAAAAACAAAACAATAACAAAAGCAAAGCAACCTCCCTGAAGCTTCTCAGCGTCCACAGTAAAGTGTCTCTCTTCTAGAACAATTTCAGTCCTGTGATACACTAAACTTTATGACATAAACAATAAAGGCCAAACCCAACTTAACTTCTGCCTAGATGAACTTAACCTTCCATATTAATTGGCCTGAAGGAAGAGGTATGTCATCTTCTGGACTCAATACTATTTGCCTACATATCTACCATTCTTATCCACATACTGTGAATTATGAGACCCACAAAAAAGCAAGAAAAAGCAAATAATTGTCGAGAGGTAAAACAATCACTAGAACTAGAGTTAGAGATGACCCAGCTACCAGCCAAATCTAATGGAAATCAACAGCTTATATCAATAGGCTGTTTTCTTGGAAATATGGATACTATTTCCAAAGTAAAGGTTACTTATAGGAATAAAAGGCAAAGCCAGATATGCTGGCACACACTAACCATCCCAATATTTGGGAGGCAGAATCAGAAAGATTGGGAGTTCAAAGCCAACTTGAGGTACATAGTGAGACTCTATCTAAAAAAAAAAAAAAAAATCTGATAACATCAGAGTTCTTTCAATAGACTTACCATCACATTGGAAACTAAGAAATGAATAGATTAAATATAAATATATGTTCTGCTGTTACATTTTTTTGTTAGCCTGACACAAGTTAGAGTTATTTGGGAAGAGGAACTTCAACTGGGGGGAGGATCTCCATCAGATTGCCTGTATGAAGTTGTGTGGGTATTTTCTTGATTAATGATTGACATAGGAGGGTCCAGCCAACGAGGGGTGGTGTCCCTCCTGGGAAGGTAGCCCTGGGTTGTTAAGAAAGTAGATTGAGCAAGCCATGGAGAGCAAGCCATGGAGAGCAAGCCAGTAAGCAACATAAGCAGCATTCTTTCACAGCTTCTACTGCTGTTCCAGCCTCCGGCCTCTCACCTTGAGTTCCCACCTTGACTCCATTCATGATATCCTACAAGCTATAAGGTAAAATAAATTTTTTCTCTCATGGTCTTTATCACTGTAACAGAAACCTAAGACATATGTTTTCAATGAAGATCATCTAAACTAAAGCAAAAAAGAAAGAAAGAAAGAAAGAAAGAAAGAAAGAAAGAAAGGAAAGAAAGAAAGAAAGAAAGAAAGAAAGAAAGAAAGAAAGAAAGAAAGAAAGAAAGAAAAAACCAAATCAGATCACTGCACACAAAAGCTTCAAGCCAACCTCTAATATATATGATCTAATATATAGTGTAACTGGAGTTTCAGAAGAAAAAGAGAACATAAAGGCTAAATGTTTGAGAAAGTAGTGACTATGTTCTGAAATTAACAACAAACATAAAACCCAGAAACATGAGAGTTCAAAGCAGGATTAAATGCACACACATACACAAACACACACCATTAAAAATAAAAAAAATTTAAAAAGGTAGCTAGAGGTATAGGACTTTATATAGAAGAAAAAAGATACAAATTATATCAGAATTCCTAGAAATATGCAAAGCAATGAAGTAACATTTTTAAGGTACTAAAAGAAGTAATTTTAAACAATTTAACTGTGACAATGGTGCCATGGTTATATGCCTTTTCCATCGAGGTTTTATATTTAAAGACCCCCACTAAAATATTCAGGAATAACAAGATGAGCTTTGTGTGTGTGTGGGGGGGGTATTGTTTCATAACAATCAGAAAAGGTAACTTTCTTTGTGGAGAGAGATGAGAAATCAGTGTTGATGATTAATTTTAAGACGAGAGGGAGGGGCATGGTGGCACCTGCCAAAAATTCTGGAGCAGGAAGATGAAAGTCCAAGTTTAAGTCCAGCCTGAGCTATATAGTGGAGTCTAGACTAGCCTCAGCTATATAGAAAGAACTTGTTCAGAAGAAGAAGGAGGAGGAAAAGGAGGAGCAAGAGGAGGAAGATCAGAAGGAGGAGGAAGAAGAGCAGCAAGAGGAGAAGGAGGAGGAGCAGGAGAAGGAGGAAGATGAAGAGCAGGAGGAGGAGGAGAAGGAAGAGGAGGAGCAGGAGGAGGTGGGGGAGGAGCAGGAGGAGGGGGAGGGGGAGGCTGGAGGCTGGTGGCCCACACCTTTAATTCCAGCACTGGGGAGGCAGAGGCAGGAGGATCTCTGTGAGTTCAAGATCTACAGAGTATTGTGAGTCTATAGAACTAGTTTTAGAACAGCCAGGGCTACACATAGAAACCCTGTTTTGAAAAAAACAAAAAGGAAAAAAAATCAACATGTAACACAGTGAAGCGCACCTATAATCTTAACTACTCTGGAGGCCAAGGTCAGCTTTGAAGCTGATTTGTGTAGTGAGACCCTGTCTCAAATAAACTTTAAAAGGTTCAGACCTCAGTACTGCAAAATAAAATTATTATCAAACAATGATAAAAATAATGATACTTGAGTGGTACGAGTAATATGATATTCTGTCTACATTAAACTTTTTTAAATTTTCATAATGAATTTCTTTTTAAAGAAAGGAATATCCTATTAGGGTTTTCTGATTTTTTTTTTTTTTTAGTTTTTGGCATCTAAGTAATTCTTTCTCCAGCCTTTGATGCACAGGAAGATTATTTACAAGTCCTGAATGTGTTCGTGTAATTCAGCCACCCACCGGTAACATAGCCCAGCCAAGCCTACCAGTGCCGAAGCTCTCCTCTCCGCACAGAGAGCAGCGCCCAGAGTCCATCAGATTTGAGAAGAATCTCCATCCGGCAGGGGTCTCGTACACAGGAACCTTCATTGATTTGGCCACTCTGAAAAATGAAATTTGAGGCAACTATCAAATCGCTGGCCTGATTTCCTTTATTTTCTCGGCTTCTTAGGAAGTCCTGTGAGGTGTTTGTTCCATAGCTACATTTCAGAACAACCTGAAGAGCTGTTGACAGTCTCTAAGCTGTATGTCAGAGAGTAAGTAGCATACTGCCATGCTCTCGACTTTGCTTTTCCTATAATACGATATATACTAAGTCAATGTCTGAGCTGTCCTAATATCAGTGTCCCTATTCATTTTCTTTGTCTTTTTGCTAAGAGTCTACTTGAGACAAGAGAATTTAAATTAAGATAGCATTTAAGCACAAACGTTTAGGGTATTGTTTGGCAATACCTACCCAGTATGAATCTGCTTATACCCTATAAAACAGGAATTCAACTCTTAAAACGATATAGTGGACACTATAATTCATGCTCATGGTCACACGGCCACACATGCACACACACACACACACACACACACACACTCACACACACACATTAGAGTTTTCATGGCTAGAATAGTCAGTTGGTGGCATTTAGAAATGATTATGGCTTCCAGCTCACAATTATGGCTTTCTTTCAATAAGAAATATCTCACTCAAAGTCAGACACTGCTAGGTCAACCCAGCTAGTGATGGTCCGGGGGTGAAGAGTGAAAGGTCTGTCATTCTTCCTCATTTCACAATCTGTGAAAATGTGGACAATTTCAGTTCCAGGGCTCCTTGGGTGTTGGCTGAGGCCGTTTACATGTCTTCAGTAGTTAGGCATCTCTCTGTCTGATCTCCTTCCTAACTGTCCCTTTCCTATAGTTTGAATGTGGCGTGTTCCCTAAATGCCCAAATGTCAGAGTTTGGTCCTCAGCTCAACACTATTAAATATTGTGGGAGGAAAAAAAAAAAAAAACATTACATAATGCTCAGCAGGAGGATTGGGGTCATTATGGGCACAAAACGATTTTAGGATGTTGGTCTCTTTTTTTAACTTCTCATGAGGTGATCAGTTTTCTGAACCCTGTGCTCCCAATAATATGGGCTGTATCACCATAGGCCCAAAGGCAAAATGGTCCAGTTACCATGGAATAAAACCAGAACAAACATCTCTTCTTTCTAAATTGACTGCCACAGGTATTTTGTTACAGTAGCAGAAACTCAACTCACATAGTGTTGATTGTGGCTGCAATGATAATCTTTAGGGTAGAAAGGAATAAACTTCCTACAAGCAAATTTCTTTTAGAGCCATTTCCTGGAGAGCCCAGTGTGTGATGTTACTCAGCGGAGTATAACACAAGACTCTACAAGACTGATCAATCACCATTTACAGTAACTGAAACAGTGTAAATCAATGTCCTACGAGAATGGACAAATAACTTCCGATACTGAGATGGCTAATCTTAATTGTCATCTTGGTTGGATTAAGAAACACCAAGAAGATTAATGAAGCATGCCTTCCGGCAGAGGTGTTTCCAAAATGATGAGGTCACGAGGGTTATGCTGTAACAGTTCAACATAACTGATGGATTTACACCTTGAGTAGATTGTTTAGAGGTAGCAGAACTGTACAACATGAATCCTCGATGAAGAAGGCAGGTCCCTAAGCCCACGGCTCTGAGGGCCATATCACTAGTCTGCTCCCTGGCTGCTGTGGCAGCCGCTGCCGCATATTCCTGTTGTCGTAACATTTTGCCTCATTTCAGGCCCCAAACAATGGCTCTAGCCAACTTGAACTAAAACTTTTGAAACTTTGATCTAAAATAACTATTTTCCTTATTTCAAGTTACTTTCTCAGGTATTTTGTCATGGTAACAAAAGCTTACTAACATGAATATATAAATACCTTCAAACAAACCATTGCGTTATGCAGTACCCTGAATGCATCTCACCTACATGTACAGAAAAATGAAGCCCCACCCCAGAAAAGAAATATATGCCTATTGTTCTGTAATACTTAGAGTCTCATTCAACTCGAAGGATTTAGCTTATCTCCTTTTCATTTTAAGAAAAATATGTAACTGTACATAGGGATGAACAATGGAAGAGCCTCTCCACAAACTTTAGAACAAAAGGCTGCTAATTTCATGGTCAAAAGCCCAAAGAAGAAATAAATCACACAGAAGCCCAAAGGAACACATAGGAAAACACAGGCCACAATTAATCTAACAAATGTAAATGCATAAGAGTGCCAAATAGAATGTACAACACAGGGAAGCGGTGAGGGCGAGAAAGAGAGGAGCAGGCGTAAGGACATGTAATCTTTGTTCAAAACACTCTTGTGGATTCAAAGCCAAGTTGGCAGGACTGAAGGAAGGGAAAGGATTTCCCCAGTTCCCACCCTTCTCAATTAATCACTGTCAGGAGGGCACCAGGCTGTGGCTGTGGTTGGATTGTGAAGAACCAGATATGAGCCACAGTTGCAGCTATGCAAGCTAAGATAAGACGGATAATACATTCCAGGACCCTGAGCGTAAATTGATTCTGTCTTGGGGTCAGAAAGGAATTCCTGTCCCTACATCCCTACCTTGAACTTGGGGTCATCCCCAGAATGGCACTCAATAGACAGCGTGTGTTAGACTTCCTGTTGGCAGGAAGCCCCTGGAGTCTACAATCCCCTGACACAAAAGCTAAAAATGAGGTTGCTCACGCTGCCTCTCCCTGACCACTGCCACCATATGCCTAAGGAAGGAGAGATTAAGAAGACTTTTGAGGCTGAAACTCTCCTACCAGGGAGAATGAGCCCTGCTGGCTAACAGAATGTGTTGCACTAAGTCACCTCCTTAGGCAGGGTTTACACACTTCCAGAAAAGTAGCTTCCGGGTGGACATGGTCTTAGACTCACAGCTTCTCCCACATTCCTTCTTGTATTCTGTGCTCCTAAAGTGAGCTCTTCTCTGTCTCCCAGAGATGTTCCTGCCTTCTGGTTATTGTTGTTTAGTGCTTTAGTCCTTCTGTGCTGTTCCTTTAACTCAGATTAACCCTCTGTTTCCAATCTCTGTTAAAAATCTATCTTACATGACCTGTCATCTGAAAGTCTGTCTGGGTACATTTTGTCATACTAAAATAGCATGCCTGAGGCTGGGCCATTTATAGAGAACAGAGGTTATTTCTTGTCCTTCTGGAGGGTGGGAATGACTGAGGGAAGAGCGCCTATATTTGGCCTGGTGAGACACTTCTTGCAAAGTTGTAACCAATTTAAAAGTGACAAGATCTGGGTCCCTTTACATATACTCAGATATCACCTTTCTTAAGAACCAAGAGGAGACTCCTAGTAGCAGAGACCATAGAGACTGAAGAGGACACCCTCTAACTAGACTAGTCTTCTAGTAAAAGGCAAAAAACACCAACCCACCCACAAAACCTTCGACCCAAAATTTACCCTGCCCGTAAACCCTGCAGGGATAAAGATAAAGCAGATAGAGCAGAGGTTGAGGGAATGCCCAACAGATGCTTGGCCCAACCTAGATAGACCCCCCCTATCAGAGAGTGCCAACCCTTGACACTATGAACAATACTCTGCTAAGCTTGCAAGACAGGATCCTGTCAGAGTTGTCCTCTGAGAGGTCCTACCCAGCAGTGCCTCAAAGCAGATGCTGATACTCACAGCCAAACATTGATCAATGCATAGGAGTCTTTGGCAATAGTGGGAGAAAACAGAAAAGGACCAGGAAGTAACAGGTGCTCCACAAGAAAAACAACAAAGCCAACTAACCAGGGGCCAGAGGGGTTTGCTGAGACTGAAGCATCAACTGAGGACCATGCATGAACTGGACCTATGCCCCCTACAAAAAAGTAGTAGATGGGCAGCTTAGGCTTCAAGTGGGTCCTCTAGTAAGGGAAGTGGGGACTGCATCGGACAAGGACTCACTTGTTAGCTTTTTGATCATGTTCCCCTGGTGGGACCGCCTTGACAGGCCACAGGGAAAGAGGACAGGCTCAGTCCTGATACAACTTGATGAACTTGGTAGGATGGAAAAGGAAGCTCCCTTTTTCTGAGGAAAAGGGGAAAGGGAGGGAGGGGGAGAGAGGGTGGGACTGCGAGAGGAGGAGGGAAGGGTCTACAAGATGTAAAATGAATAAAATAAATAAATGAGAAAAATAAAAAAAAAAACAAGAGGAGTCCACAGGACCATATTCTATGTTCTGAATTCTTGGCCCTTCTTTAAAAGCCCTCATCTTCAAAGTCTGGGAGAAGATATCCATATCACACATATCCAGTGAAGTTCTCACGCACTTTCCATATTTTAAATTCCGACAAATTATTTTTAAAAATTTGATATCTCCAAAGAAAAGAAAAGCAAAATGTAAAAAGTACACACTTTATACAAGATGATATTCAAATAACCAATTAGCATATGAAGAACACTTGGGATTCTATGTTAAACCCACAGTGAATTATTACTACCCACAATCCTAGAGGAAAAGAATGGAACTACCAGTGCCGGAGAAGATAGGGACCTCATCATGGAGGCATGCAGATTCACACTAACTACAATCTATTTATTTCTTCAACACAGTCTAGTATCATAGGACAACAAACTGTGTAAACCTCCACAACGTAGAGCAATGAAGGCAGTGGAGCTAAAGAAGCCAGACAAAGGAATACTGCAGTATTCCACTTAGACATGATGCAAAATAGAAAAAAGAAGTCAGTGGTGGCAGAAATCAGGGTGCTGGTTATCTGGGGTGAATGGGGAGCAGTGATGAGGCAGGCGTGAAGAAGGTTGTTTCTTCATAGCAGTAATTGTTGCATGTGTGTGCTTATTATATGAAAATCCCTTAAACTACATACGCTGCCCTGAGCCTTTTTTACATGCACATTCTACGTCAATTAAAAGCTTATTTTACAGCTCGACATGGTGGCACAGAACTCAGGAGGCTGAAGTAGGAGGACCAGGAATTTGAAGCCAGCCAGCCTTACTTCAAAGAGTATCTTATCTGAGGAAGAAAAAAAAAAAAAACTAATTTTAAAAGTTTATTTGTATGAAAAAAAAATCCCTCTGGAGTATTTA